AGGCTCTCAATAAAGGTTTGCTGGATGAAAATATTCTATCTCACTCCTCATAATCACGCCGTGAGGTTACACGGTTATGGCCATTTTACAGAAGAAGAAACTGAGGCCCAGAGAAGAGGCAGTCACACAGCCAGTAGGTGGCGAAACTGGGCCTCAAGTCTTATCTAATAAATTCAAGCCCACTGCTTTTTTTTTCTCTAAGAAATAAATACCCCCAGGCTCAGCGTTCTCGCTTCTGCCTTCCATCCGCGGGGAGTCAGAGAAATTCCGGAAAGGCGAATCAAGCCTCTGCGCACAAATCCAAGGGCCAGAGCGAACACCTGTGCCCCCGGTGCCCAGTGGGCCAGGCGCGGGGACTGGACAGGTCGGAAACTTTGGGGGAAGGGTGCACTTCGCGAGGGTGCCCGGCCGGGTGGCGACGCTCGAGACGCCGAATTCCTAGCACGCTGTGAGTGGGGGAAGGGCGGCGCTGCTGCTCCACTGAGTCCCGGGCTGCACCGGTCCTGAGCTCCCTGCGCCGAGAACCCAGGTCCCCAACACACCGCCCGTCGGGATCACAACCTCGAATCTCAGCTCCTTGGAGCGCGGGGCCTTCGAAGGCGCAGTTCTGACTCTTGCATATTTCCAGGGAAGAAAATAAAGGCCAAAGCGAGGAAAAGACACCTCCAGGGTCATCCAGCCGGTGGTGGCAGAGCTGGGGCTGGAAACCACGTGTCCCGGATTCGGGGTTGGACTTCTTCCGTCCTCTACAAGCCCACGTTAGGGGGTGCGGCTGGGAAAGATATGGGAGGAGTCAGCTGGAGGTCAGGCGAGAGGCCGGATGGCGTAACGGTGAAGGTGCCTAGGAAAATCCCAAACGTAACTAACCCAGGCAACCTTCTGCAAGTCACACGTCACTGGGTAAAGAGAGAACCCACGAAAAACGAGACGTGCGCATGAACCTTTACCTTCTTCCTGGTCCTCACGTCGTCCTACCCCGTCGATGACCTCCGCTCCTCCTCACTCTGGGCACAGCTGTCCGTGGAAGCTTTGGGACGGCCTTGCCTAGATCCAGGCTGAGGAGTGCCTGGGACCTTCCGGGGGCTGGGGAGATAAAAGAGAGAGAATGAATAAATAGCTGCTCCGAAAGTTCCACATCTTTTTCTGGCAAATTTTTACTCCCCTCTATAGAGCCAATTAAAAGCAATAAAACCTTGCATGGAACCCCTATTCCTAGCAAAGCGTCGCCAACAATTGCCTAAGGGGTAAACCAAATACGCCTGAGATAATTACATTAAGCCCGGGGCAATGATTTGCCTGCCAGCGTCCTCAGCGCCAGCCAATATTTGGATAGTGTAGTGGTTGTTTTTTGTTTTTTTAAATTGCACGCGGAAACTTGAAACCCACTGGTTGGTGCCAGGGTGGTTACATGATCTGTTTTTCTTGAACGGGGGTCTGCAGGCAGCTGGAGCGCGCGCGTAAACGCCCCCACCGGTGCTGCTGCGCGCCTGCAAAACTTGCCGGAATTAAATCAACCTCGAGGGAAGGAGGGGGAGAGAGAGAGCGCGCCCCCCACGGTGGCCCAAGCTCGGCTGCCAGGTCCTGCGCCACGCCGGGAATCCCCCAGAATACTCCGCGGCGGCGGCGGCAGCCGGCCCCTCTCCAAAATGGATAGGCCTCTGGCGCTCTGGGTCTGCGCTCGCCGCTGCAACTGCGGCCTGGGCCGGCTGATGCTTCCAGTGTCCGGGAGCACTTTCGATCCTTGCGAAGTCCTCCCGGAATGCGGAAGAGTGAGGCTTAGGGCGCTTCGCTCGACCTGCGCGGCTCTGTTTTGGTCCAAGTTGCACGGGGCCGCTTAGCCAGCTGAACGCACTTGGCTCGCCGAGGCCGAAGGCGCCCAGACCGAGATGGTGGCGGCGGGTCTGTAGGGCTGTAACGGGCTCACCCGGTGAGCGCCCAGCTCACAGCTTTAGTGTTCAGGTTATGCGCGTAAAGCTTGCCCGGCGCGCCCTTGAAGGGGGTCCTCCCCTCACCTTGTCCCCAGACGCCGGCCGCGGAGCTCGCTTGCCCGACGGGAACGAGCTGCTCTCAAAGAGGAAGGCTTGCTTTTCCGGGAGCCAGCGGAAATGATACTCTCGCAAGGCGTCAACAAAAGATGCCTTTACCCACGCTGCGTGCGGGACCGGGGCCGGTAGAGCCTTTGAGCGCTCGCTCCGCACGCCGATCTCCCACCAGCGGCTTTTCGGCGGCTTTCGGGCCTGGACAGGGCTGTTCTCACACCACGTCGGTCAAGGGAGTTGGGAACCCCCGGCCCCAGCGGGCTCTAGCGGTCCCTGTGACTGTGGGCGTCCTGGGAATTCCTCCGCGGCTTTGCGAGGCCAGGAGGCCGTCTGCTGCTCGGCTCCTTACGCTGCCTCAGCGCACCAAAAATCACTTAGAATCTCTATCGGCGGAAGGCACGTTCCTGGCATGGAGTGACAGCAAAAGCATCCTCCTCTGAAAGGGCCTCCTTTCCTTAGGATAGGCCAAGAGGCTGCTCTTTCCCCTGGGGGCCCTTGTGGATGCTTCACCTTAACACCTATTCTAAAACGTCTGCTGGCCCAGGGCAAACTGGCCAAAGAGCACTAGCCAGAAATCTAGCTCCTGACTAACGATGAAAATCAAGAATCTGCCCCGCTCCCCGCACTCCTACAACTAGAGGAAGCGACCCGATGGGCAGACAGCCCCTCTCGTGGCCCTCCCTTCGGGCAGCTCAACAAAAGTCGGAAGCTAAAAACCCCTCGACCTGGTGTCGCCAAGGTTGGAGGGTAAGAGGCCGTCTCCCAAGCAGTCTGGGCCACGGCTTTCTGCCTTCGGATTTAGGCAGGGAAAAGAAAAAATTAAAAACCGAGTTAGCCACAGTCCCTAATTGCTATTTTCTCCTCAAATCGCGGAACTGCAAGGGACCTGTGAAATTTCCAACTTCAGATATCTCATTTTACAAATAATGAAACTGAGGCCCAGAGACAGGAAGAGGGCATATTTTTTTTTCTATACTCTGCTTTTCCTCCCAGCCTAAGGGCAAAGGCAGCCAAAACCAGAATATAACTTCGGGTTCTCCCTGTAGTCAATTGGGATTCGCTGCTGGGGGTGCTGAGGAGGGCGGAGCAGGAATCTGCTTCCCGGACTCCAGCAAGCACGGGGACCTCAACGCTGGGGCTCATCTACCTTTCTCTTACAGGTCACACCAGAGTCCTGTGGTCATCATTTTAACCTGCTATTTAATTTTAATTATCTCCCTTTCCCTAAGAGAAGCAAAGACTTCGTTCCGATACACCCAGCTGATGGGACCTCTAAGCTCCCAACTCTTCCTTCCCGCCTCAGCTCAGACGTCACCACCCCCAGAGAAATGCCTCACCCTGTCCCATCCACCCGCTCCTGAGAAGCGCGGTGGAGCCTCCACCACCAAGCCCTTAGTATCTGTCCTAATTTCCTGGTTATTGTCAGTCTCCCCCTCTAGACCGCGGTCCTGGAGCGCAGAGAGCTGTCTTATGCCTTCCGTGTACCTGGCGCTGATCACTGGGCCTGACATACAGTTGGCGCTCAATAAAATTGTGATGAAGTTGGCATTTGAAGAAAACGCCCCTGGCTTTCCTCCCCATTAGCTTTTCTCTCCAACCCTCCGGGCATTGGGGTTTCTTGCAGAGAAGAGACCTTGAGGCCACGGTGCTCCGAACTTGGCCCAGAGTGGCTAGGACAGGAGAAAGGTAGTGTTAGGAGAGAGAAGCTCAGAGTGGGTAGGTGGGAAAAGGGAAGAGTGAAAGGGCGGGGACAGGCGGAAGATGCAGGAAAGGCGCGAGAAAGCAGTGTTCGCTGCCGTGCGTCGCGACCTGGGTGGGGTGCGCCAGAGGGGACAGCACCCGGCGCTGCGCCCCGCCCTGCGAACAGCCCGCGCTCCCCGCCCCCTCGGCCGCGGCAGGGGGCTGCCGAGCGGGTGGTGCATGCTGGGCGTGCGGGCGCCTGAACCGAGGTGGAGGAGGGGGCGGGGGCGAGGCACGGCGCCTTCTTGCTCCTTCTGCAGCTAGAGACGCGGCGGCGGCGGCGCGGAGTCCCTCAGCCTCGGTCATGTGATAGTCTCGAAGCGCGAGCTGCGGGGGTCTCGGCGTCTCGGGGACCATTACAAAACGCAGCCAGGAGAGCGCGTCGCTGCCATAGCCGCCGCCGCCGCCTCTCCAGCTCAAGACGGGCCCGAGAGAGCGGCGGCAGCTGCGGCGCGGACGGCCGAGCAGCCCCGGCCAGCCTCGCATCCTCCCGGCATTCGCAGGCGCCCCCGCCGGCCCGCGGCTTGCGTCCCCCGTCCAGCAAACTTTTTCCCCCAAGCGACCGCCTCCAGCTCTATCCCCAGCTCCGCTGCGAGCCGCCGGAGAAAAGGGAGACGCAGGCTGCCAGGATCCGAGCTTCCCTTCCCCTTACCTCACTTCTCCCTTCCAGGAAAACAACTCCAGAGCGCACTGAGGGGCCGGTCGGGAGGCAGCGCTCAGACAGCTGTGAGTCCTGCAGCCCTCCGCCTCCAGGACAGCGAGCGCCGACTCGGATTTAAAGGGCCAGAGTCCTAACTGTCCAGTCCCTCCCAGCCCGCTTGGCCTGCGCTTCCCTGGGACCGAGAAAAAGCAAAGACGAGGCCGGAAGGGAACGCAGCCCTCCCCACTCCTAGTCCGCCAGTTCTCGCGCTCAGCCTCTGGCCACCGGGAGGGTGGCGGTGAAGCTGGCGCGCCCCGCCCGCGGCTGTGCGCGCTGGTCGGCGACCGTCGGGGCCAGAAATTGCGAGCGTCGGAGAGCTAAGTCGGCGCAAGAGATTAATCGCGGAGACCCCAGGCAGCTGAGAGAAGGCCGGAGAGAAACGGCGAGAGGGTCTGGGGGGAGAGAAGGTGCGGTGGTGGGGCGGAGTGGGGGTTAGTGGAGACAGCCAGGCCCTGGGAGCGGGGTGCGGAGCGGCGCTGCGGTCCAGTGTGGGCCGGAGGGCGGTGGAGGTGCCGGGGGCGATGCCGCGGCCGGGAAAGAGTTCGTACAGCGACCAAAAGCCGCCCTACTCGTACATCTCGCTGACCGCCATGGCCATCCAGCACTCGGCCGAGAAGATGCTGCCGCTGAGCGACATCTACAAGTTCATCATGGAGCGCTTCCCCTACTACCGCGAGCACACGCAGCGTTGGCAGAACAGCCTGCGCCACAACCTCTCCTTCAACGACTGCTTCATCAAGATCCCGCGGCGGCCCGACCAGCCCGGCAAGGGCAGCTTCTGGGCGCTGCATCCCGACTGCGGCGACATGTTCGAGAACGGCAGCTTCCTGCGGCGCCGCAAGCGTTTCAAGGTGCTACGCGCGGACCACACTCACCTGCACGCGGGAAGCACCAAGGGCGCGCCAGGTGCGGGGCCCGGAGGGCACCTGCATCCCCATCACCCCCACCACGCGCACCACCACCACGCTGCCGCGCACCACCACCATCACCACCACCCGCCCCAGCCGCCACCGCCCCCGCCGCACATGGTGCATTATTTCCACCAGCAGCCGCCTCCGGCTCCGCAGCCGCCGCCGCACCTGCCGCCGCAGGCCCCGCAGCAGCCGCCCCAGCAGCCGCAGCTTCAGCAGCCGTCTCACCCCGGAAAGATGCAGGAGGCGGCGGCCGTGGCGGCGGCGGCGGCGGCAGCGGCGGCGGCGGCGGTGGGCAGCGTGGGGCGCCTGTCGCAGTTTCCGCCCTACGGGCTGGGCTCGGCCGCCGCCGCCGCCGCCGGCGCCGCCGCGTCCACGTCGGGCTTCAAGCACCCGTTCGCCATCGAGAACATCATCGGCCGGGACTACAAGGGCGTGCTGCAGGCCGGCGGACTGCCCTTGGCGTCCGTCATGCACCATCTGGGTTACCCTGTGCCAGGCCAGCTCGGCAACGTCGTCAGCTCCGTGTGGCCGCACGTCGGCGTCATGGATTCGGTGGCCGCGGCTGCCGCCGCCGCCGCCGCCGCGGGGGTCCCAGTGGGCCCGGAGTACGGGGCCTTCGGGGTGCCGGTCAAGGCCCTGTGCCACTCGGCAAGCCAGAGCCTGCCTGCGGTGCCCGTGCCCATCAAGCCGACTCCAGCGCTGCCGCCGGTGACCGCGCTGCCGCCGACGCTCGCTGTCCCCGCGGCCGCACAGCAGCCGCCGGCGCCGTCCACCGTGTGCCCGGCGGTCGCGGCCTCGCCGACCGCCTCTCTGCTGGAGCCCGCCGCCCCGAGTGCGGCCCAGAGCAAGGGCGGCTCCCTGCACTCGGTGCTGGTGCACTCCTAGGGTACCCGGGGGCGGGGGAGACGAACGCGCGGAGACGCCTGGCCCGCGACGGCCAGAGAGGGAGAGGGCGCCCTGGCGAGGCGGGACAGGGCTGACGAGTCCAGCCTTTGTGCGAAAGGAACGTATTTAAACAGACAACCCCGAAAAGTGGATTCTCCAGTGGTCTGAATAAATATAACACTTCTGGTGTCTGTGTTTATACTATGTTGTACAATCAGATTAATGAAAGCCAATTTTCAGGTAAGAGTTTCTATTGTAATTAATATTATGAATCAATAAGTTATGGGGGGAGGGAGCGAAGGAGGTTGGGGAAGCCTCATTTGCTGGCAAATTGGAAATGGATTTCGACCCTTATCCCTGGGAGCCGAAGATGGTGGAGCTAAGCCTCTCCGGGAGAAATCCAGCAGAGTGACGCGGAAACAGACCTCGGCCACCAAGTTTCTCTGCGCTGTGTCTTCCCCGGGCAGCCGCCTGTCGTGAGCCTTCAAAAAAACTGCTCTTCACTAAGGAAACCTCGTTTTATTTAATAAGGAAAAGAGGGAGCGTTTGATACCGTGATTTTCCTGGTCGGTTAAATGGGCAAAAGGACACGGTATCGTGAATAAGGCCACTTTTACGGGGCAGTGGGAACCCCACGAAGGATCTTGGGAAGCAGTCAAGTTTCTTGGCTCTGACCCGGGGTAGCAGGGATACCCTGAGCAGAGAAGGATAGCAGGAACAGCTAAAACAATTAGTTTGCACAAAAGAGAGTGGCAGCGGCACAAAGAGAAAAGCCCCAGATTCCAAAAGTAAAGTTCGGGAAACACAACCAAAGAGAGACAATGAAGGCGACTTTCTACCGGCAATTCGCTTGTGTATCGATCGGATGAGACCGTTAAGGAGCCCCAAAATAATGTGAATTCCCACGATCCATTCCATTTGGGGATTTTAAACAAAAAAAAAGATCACTTGCATCACGGGATTTTGTCCCCTAACTCACGAATGCAAGAAAAGCCTGCCACATCACCCGACAGTATTGCTCTTAACGCTTCCAGGAGCGTTTCGTGGCCGTTGCCTTCCAGCCTCCTCGGGACAGATGCGAGAGGATGACCCGGGCACCTTTGCGGGAGGCGGTCGATTTGGTGTTCCGTGTGCCGTTTGGGTGCGTACGTCTTTCAGGCGAATTCTTCAGTTTCAGTTCGTGAATGGATAAGAAACTTGCCCAGCGGCTGTTGCTCCTTCCCCTTTTTGAGCCCCAAGAATAGCACTTTACTCCAACAAACTTTTGGGAACGAAGGGGGGCGGATAGGGAGGAGGGGGCTGCCCTTTGCCTCTACGTCACCTCTGGCTTGTGTCCGCGCCGCGTTCGGGTTGTGACTTTGTGCAAGTTCATGTCTGCCAGTGTTGTACGCGGTGTTCTCCATTAAAGCTTCTCTCTGGATATGCCGGTGCCCGCGTGAAGGTGTTTCGCTTCTCAGGAGACGAGGCCGCGGTCTGAGTGCCCACTGGGCGGTCAGGGGGCTTTGCAAATCCTCCTCCTCCCCTTTATTTCTTAACTTCAGAGCTTCAAAGGGGAGAGTTCACAGGCGAGCCACCAGCACCGACAGGTTCCCTCCATTGCTCCTTTTATCAGTTGGCGCAATTATCTCCTACTCTATCCGATCTAGTCCACCTCAGTACTAGAGATTGAATTAGCAAAAACCGGCAACGGTGCATTTTTTCTGTTCCTACATGAGGTTCATATCAATACATCATCATCACCACCCAACACCCTTTTCCCTTTTCTGAGGGCCTCGAGGGCGGGCCAAGGCCAGGGGCCCGGTGCCATTGGGTGGGTGCCCGGCGGCGCCCCCTTAAGTCTGCCGGGCGGGCCCAAGGCGGGGAGGTTGGCGCCAGGAAGCGGCCACCGCGGATATTAACGAGGAGCGCGGCCCCGCCACCGCGGCGTGGGGAACCTGTTGCGCGCGGGCGCCGGGCTGCTTCCTCGGTGAGCAGGGCCTCGGGGGCGGCGGCAGCCTGGGGCCCGGAGCTGCCGAGCGCTAGGCCCGCAGGAGCCGACGGCCCCGCAGCCCGCGCTCCCCGGAGGGAACCTGTGGGCTGCAGCCGCTGCGGAGCTGCGCGGGGAGCTGGCCAGGTGGCCCCGCCTGGTACGGGGACCCCGCTGGGGCCGGGGAAGCCGTGGCCGGGCCTCCGCTCTCCGTCCTCGAACAGGGTTCTATCTTGAACCGGTTTGTCTCTACCCAGTCAGGCCAGAGGCAGCCTTCTCTAAACTTTCATCAGAAGGAAATAAAGGGACAACAAGATGACCTGTGCACAGTAATGACACTGGGGGGATTCTGGTTACATCTTAAAAATAGGTGTTTCCACGCATCCCCTATTTACAACTCCCGTTTCAGTGTGCAGCTAAGTTTTGGCCTCGCCGGGGAGACAAGTCTCAGTTTAGGTCACCGCCTCCTTGGAGGCTCAAACAATTCTTTCATCCCGTTCTTTCAACTTGAGACTGCAAGGTGTCCTGCAGGGTTTTCCTCTACACTAATCTGAGGCTGTTGAAAGAGAGACAAGGGGAGACACTGAATGGGGGTCACACATTTGGGGGCACTTGGGAGTCTGGCTTCTTTGTACACCTCTGAGTGAGTTGGTGGAAGTCATGGGGGGGTGGCAAGTCACTCGTCGGACGAAGGGCTCGCTGGATCCCAGAGGTTTCTTCAAAAGAACATCTCTTCTTCCTTCTCCACCTGCCGGAAAGGGCCAGTGTACTTTTTAGCGGTGCCCATGGTCCCACTTCCGGGAAAGGGGCGCGGCCCAAAGTGACGTTCGGCACCCAGAGGGCTGTCCTAAGTGACAGCCCCTCCTGAGGAGAGAAGAGCCTGTGGCCACGGCGGCGGTGAAGGAGAGTAATTGACCCTCAATGTTTTCCCAGATCTTCTTAGCACCCAGCCCCATACCCGCATACCTCTGTGGACCCCCTCCTACCTCTGTTGGGAAAACACGGTTGTTTTGATTTGTTTTTACCCTAACGAGAAAGAGAAAGAAGAAGAGAAGCAAAGTGAGGTTAGAGAGCATTCTACTCAAGTTTTCATCCAGGAGACCCTGGTACCCAAAGGAAGCTATGCATGGCCTTGAGACTGGAGAACATGGGAATTCATGTAAATAAACAAGGTGCGGAGGTGGGGACAAAACTCTGATCCCAAGGGAGGTCCCAATTAAAGCCCTGGACATGGCCCTGAAGACTCCTCTTAACCAAGATAGGATCTGCAATCTAACTGTAAATGTGTTGTGAGGGGCTTCAGCCCAAGCAACCACTGCCCAGTTGCCAAACCAGGAACCTGGCAGGACAGACCTCTGAGATACCAGGACTGGGAGGATCCGGGGCCCTGACTCACTGCTCCTCACCAGAATCAGATTTTCATACCCATGTGCCAAAACACACCCATTCAAAGACACACACACACAGATTCAGTGCTTATTTTAAACATGTTAATAGGGATCAAGCCATTAAAAAAATATTGTCCTGGTAATTATCAAAGTATGTAGAGAACCACTAAGGCTAATAAGAATAATAAACTGATGGTGATATTTTGGTAACCATCTCAACTGAGTATGTGATCTCATATGATCTTACAGGTATTCTCTCTCTAGCTACATGTTGGGATAGAGGGAAAGTAAGTTTTGGACATAAGTAAGGTAGATGTAAAGGCATCTACAAATTTATGACCATCTCAGTTCACAAGTTTAATCAAGTCACTCTTGGCCTGCTAAGTACTGGTGGAGATAACCTGAAATTATGCCCCTCGTTTCCAGGATGATAGAAAAGACTAGTTGCTCAGCCTGTATCCCACTTAACTGAATGCACAGAACCCTGAGAAAGATGAGGAGAAGCAAGGAGGAGAGAGAAAGGTTTTAGTGTAGATGTCCTTACAATAAAGGTAGAAGGAAAACAACTTGGAATGATCTGTTTGATTATATTTCCTTGGGAAACTGAGATGAGAGGTAAGGGCCAAGGGAGGACAAAGCTATTTTAGCTGTGGTCCCTAGGAGAACAGGCCCTCCTGCAAAGGCCAGAATCCACACAGCTGGCATCTGGCACTTAGGAAGCCTGTCAGTCAGGCTGGCTTGTGGTCAATTATCTCCTTAAGTAGACTGGCATTAGTCCAGCCAGGGAGGAGGGCTGGTTGCATCCATAGGAATCAGAGCCAGTGAGCTGGAAGTGGCATGCTGAACTCCAAGCATCTTTGCACTGGGGAGTTTGGAAGGCTGATCAACACATCTCCTCCTGGGACTCAAAGGTGACATTTGCCTGCTTGGCACTAGTACAGACAGACTCCAGAAGAGTGTGGAAACAGATGCCTTAGGAGAAGAAGCATTGATCATCAAAACCATTGATTCCCCTAAATTCCTTTCACCAACAAAATTGTCATTTCTGAAATGCACAAAATTATACAAAGATCATTCTAAGTTGTGGTGGGATTTGTCTCCTCCACTGGATAAGAATTCTCACTCTTCACTGTACCTTACTATGCAATGGGCAGATAGGATAGTTTGGGGGCGTGTTCAGGCTTGGATGGTGTGGCAAGGGTTTGAAGTGGTATTGGTGTTAATCAGACTGTGTGTGTGTGATTCCCATGGTGGTGTGGGGGCAGGGTGGTATTGGCATTGAGAAGAAAAAAATAAAGAAATGGTTTCAAAGGCGAGTGATAATCTCTTTAGTGAAAAGGCAGAGTGGGGATGCAAGTGGAAGCGGGAAGTCCTTGAATTCCAAAGGGCAAAACAATTTCTTCAAGCCCAACATTTTCATTTTGCTCATTGAAAGTATTTTTATTAACTTTATCTTTCAAAGCTGAAATGCTACCTTATACCCTTTGGGGAAGATTGAAGAGATCTGCTTGGGACTTGAATTCAGTCTTAAACCATTGTTTAAATGGTATGAGTTTGGAAAAACTCCAGATGTACTCTGTCCCAAGCACTTTTCCTTCTTAACTATTCCCTGTGTATTTTAAGGAAAATTCAAGCCACATGTTGCT